GTAATGGTACCTCGCAATTCAAAAGTCTCTCTACGGCTGAAGAATGAGCGTGTTCTTGGGCCATCATAGAAACATAGATAGGGTCGACGACGGAACGAACAACGAAACTTTACGACAGCTTTTTCGTACACGTTCACTTGCATCACATACACAAGTGCTCTCTGAACCGTGCAATAAGGTCACCCATAACACGGCTCTCCCACTTGAGTTATCTTAGCCCCAGGCCATGCTATTCAATAATCTAGGAAAAAAGGGTAACAACTAGTATTGAAAGCTGGTCGCCTTTGGAATATGAGTAGGGCTCCGGACGTGGCGCGTTCGTGGAGGCAAACCGAATAAAGAGCAAAAGGAAGGTTGGGTGCTTGTGGGGCGAGGCCATCCGGCCTCGAATAGGAGGGGGCTTAGCTCTGGATCCTCCCTGCTTGCAGAAATGAATGGATCAGAAGGGGGCTTGGTTCTCTATTTCCGGGCCGGGCGGGAGGTGAAGGCCATAAGAGAAGATTGCCCTCCCGGTAAGGAAGAGGGGAAAAAGGTGCTGTCATCTATCTCGACCAGTTTCCCGAGGCCTTGGAAATCCAGACCGGCTCAGAGAATCACTTGCACTATTTGGCCCTTCGTTTCGCCAACAATTAATCCTTTACGATTTCCCATTCCTTCCCTGCCGAGCCGCCTCTCTTCGCCATTCGATGCTTCCGCCTTCCCTTTCTATAACATACCCAGGCGCCCTCCTTTCCCATCACTAATAAAAAAAGAAATACCAATAAAAGGGTTGGTGTGGCTAAGTAAAGCTTCGTCTATGATTTCCAGGGGAGTTGACTTGACCCATTCCCCAGTCTCCCGCACTGCTAAAGTCAGTGTGCGACTCCGAATGAGGACCTCTTTCTCTTCTGCCCACTCTCCGTTCACACGGTTCTCAAAGCAGAGGAGGAAGGGTGGGCAGCAGGTACCACGAGCCCTCTGTCCCACACATCTATCCAGAAGCAAGTGTAGTTCACCGGTTCCACCGAATGCTCCTATCTCTCGGCAAAGATCGTTTGAGTGTGCAGTTATGCTTCGGATGCTTCGCCATAGAATAGATCGACCCAGTTCCCGTTCTTTTCCGGTGCACTCGCTTTATATCTCCGACACACAAGGAAGGACGCGGTGGGAAGGAAGCAGCCCTAGCCTCTGTCCGGCCGATCATTCCGCTGGCATCTCGCATTCACGCCCCCGTTTGACTGCCGCTCGGGGATGTAGTTGTAGATAGGTTAGTCTTAGTGGGTCGTTGGCTCCACTTGTTATCTCCTTCTACGACATGCTGTTGTCGTCGCCATATTCCATATGTCACTTAGTCATCTCTGCCTCGCTGCGGGTCAGCACCTCCGAAAGAAACGGAGGACTTCATTCAGTGACCCCGCGATCGCCCTCTGAACGATCAGAATAAGGTAAAGCTTGAAGATAAGTTTTGTACTCTATTAATTTCTCAGTCCCTCTAGTCGGGTGGGTGCTGGCCGGTTTTTCGACCAGATCCCCCTTAAAACCGTACGTGCGGGTCTCCCCGCATGCGGCTCACGCCATTCGAGGTGGCCCAGCCCAGCATTCATTCGCAAATCCTGTAGTGAAATTTAGACTGCTCAACCTCGGAAGCTAATTCGCGTGTAGGCAGCGCTGTCTGTCGTACCGTTGACTCTATCTATTCATTGAATTTGCTTTATTGCATTTCGCGAGCTCTTTTTCCAAGAATTTTCCACTCCCCGTCGAATGACCCGGCCTCCCCTGGCTCTTCCACCGTCCGGGCTCCCTTTCCTCCCTATGCTATGCTCCCCCGGCGCAGGCCTACCACGCTTCGCGCCTGCGGCGTTTTCGCCAGACGGTCTTTGCCAGTAGTGCCATCCTCCCCGCTGGCTGTATGGGCGGGTTGTCCCTCGCTGCTGCATTCTGTTAGGCTATGGATTACAGGAACAAATGTAGTTGAATGGAACAGCAGGCGGGTTACACGTTCCACTGTGCCGAGATGTGAGGTGCAGGTGGTGATGATCACCCCGGGGTATGCGTTAGCGCCCTTGACAGGCACTCCAGAACCCGCCAACGCTCGTGAAACCCCGGGTCCGGTCGGTCCTCCATTCATCCGACCGGGGTTATGGATAACGAGGCCACCTTCACAACCTTCTCCCTTCTGTCCCTATGCTGTAATAAGGTAAGGCGGTTCGCTTGAGTTGCTCAACCGCCCCTTAGCCCGGTGCTCATGACGCGCTACGGAACCTCCACCGTGCCGGGGGACCAAGCAGGGCATAGCTAGCGGCATAGGAGCCGACTCGGCATCAGCGGCTTCGTGCCGCACTGGAGTGATCCAATATGTGGTTCCGCACGTTCCACCACTTCTCCGTTCATTTCCAATACTGATCGTGAAACACCATGAGCAGCAGGATGTTGAGGTCCGAAATTCGAAGTGAAATTTTTGATTTGCCTGTTCCTAATCGTCATGGGAAAGAAAGGCATAAATAAGAAATATATTATTCCCTGAGAGCTTGTCCAATACCACCAGTACCAGAAATGCATCTCCTTCGCCCGCGCGAGAGACTTCTATGCCAGCCGGGAATCACGGCTCTGTTATGAAATAAAGCGGCAGACAGACTACCTGCCAAAAAAAAGGTAGTCTTTTATCCCAAAGCAAAAGAGAGAGCGTCTAGCGGTCTTATGAATCAATCAAACCAAAAAGAAGTTTTTGGACTATTCCCTAACAGGGTAAAATGTCCTTACATACGATATTACTTCTTACGTACTTTCTTTTTCTTTACTTACTTTATTACTTATGCAATTCTTGTTGGTCAACTGTCTCTTGATTTTCAATTCGCTGACCGCTGCCCCTTATCGCTGATGTGTGGTCTATTGCCTAAGAATGCCTAACCCCAATAAGCCAGCTTATCGAGGGAAGCTAGTCAGTCCGGTCTAATCATATAAAAAAAGTATTTGCCCAGTAGTGCTCAACAAGTAAATAAGAAGGTAGTCGAGGACTATCCTAAGTCTTACGCTTCATGATGGCATTTAGATGGCTCTGCTCTATAGCCAGAGTAGAGTAAGGGGGAAAGACTCAAGTACAGTGAAAAGAACATTGGAACTAGGGAATCCAGCTGCCATTTCGCTAGATACCAGAAAGATGGGGAGGAAAGTTCTATCCAGTTGTTGGCGCCGGCGCTAAAGCGAGGAAGGGGTGCGTCATCATTTAGTTAGCAACGGAAACTGGTTAAATTTACCTAAATACGCAGGTCTAAATAGAACACTAAAGGCTTATGCCTTCACGACGTAAGGAGCGAAAACAAAATACCCTTCGTCAGCCTTTCCATCGATAGAGACATCGCCCGACCAAATACAATGTCCCAAAACGATCTAGTCAGCCTGCAGGCAACTGCTATAGATGACGCGCCTACCATGACCAGTTCAAGAGGAAGGTCACAGTAAGGGGAGAGAACACCCGGACTGTCTACTCTTATGTGTGTGGCCATGGGCTTTCCCTTCATATCACAGCCGTAAAGTCTATAAGGATAAAGTATTGGCTAAGCACCTTTGGGCGGGCCCCCTCTTAGTTAAATTTCGCTCGAAAGAAATGTGAATCTGTCTTCCCTTCATTTTTAATTCACTTATCTTCTCTTCTTCTTCGATTCCTTTCCATTAATAAAGGAGGAAATACTAGATATAGACTAAATCGGAATGAAGAAGATATGAATGGAACCTAAAAACAACCAACCACCTATAGGACTGCGATAACGTCCATCCCTATGGAAATTTTCTCGAACTCGGAGTAGCTCTTTATATATTTTAGATTATGTGGCATTGAGGTCATGGAGCTTTCTTTCTAAGACATCCACTTTGACCCGGGGAGGCAGAAGGTAATCACGAATTAGTGTGTTTTCCCGTTTCCCCCATTCGATTCAAAATACGTCGCTTTAGATCAAGAATTCTATTGATTTCCTCATCGGAGACATTGCTCGCCCCTGGACCCTGTCGATACACAAAAAACCTATTCCTGATTACATATTTGACTGATTCCATATCAGGTTCCGCTGGCTGAATAGCCGGAAGCGGATTAGCAGCAGCAGCAAAACAAAAGACGGTTGAATCTTGGTAGTTGTGGTCGTGACAGGCACTCGGGCTGACAGCCATCTTAGTGAGGTAGTCTATTTCGTTGAAGTAGCGGGTCTCCCCCATCTGGTACTTCTCGTTCTAGTAAACGAAGGAACAATCTTTCTAGGAATAACCTTTTCTGTAGTTGGACTACCAGGATTATTCAATAGTAGTAGGTTCACCTCTAATACTAATAAGAAAAGGGCTTCCCCTTAGACCTTTAGACCTGACCAAGAGAAGTCACACCGGTAGCCCTCAGAAAGAAAGGTCCCTCGAGCTTTATTAGTAGTTACACGAGTGCTCAGATCAATACCGAAACACATATGGAGTGCCTGGCCTGGACCACAAAGAAAGAGCACAAGCAGGACTCCCTGCACCCGCGTGAGGGATGACTTTGAATCCATACCGAAGAGAATGGACGACTTGAAAAGGTCTCCATAGACAAAGAGACGATCTACACCGAAACAGAGAAAATACATTAGGAGCACTCATTCCTTGTACCCGGGGAACTTATGAATAAGGAAGGGGATCTACACCAGAAAAGGAGTTGACTCCCATATAGACACTTTCACTCACATTGCTTTAGGCAGTACTCTTCTTACTAAAGAAGAATACTTCCTTAAATAGGGAGCAAATCCGTCACTGGACGAGGAAGGAAAGGAAGATCTGTACAATAAAGTAGATTAGAAAGCGTTAACAAGACTATCAGACCAAGAACAGAACTGCTGGAGGAACAACTACCTAAGGCTTAAAATGACATAGAATAAGTGGAATCTCATGCAAACTGTGAGGGAGGTGGTTAACCGGTGCTTAGAGAACTACCTGGGATGCTTTACAAGCGATAGACCAAAATCAATTACATATTCTAAATGAATCTAATCCCATCCCCTACGGACAAGGGTGAATACCCGTAAGTGAGTTCGCGCAGGAGTTTCTTGCTCTGATTCTGTAGCGGGAGTTTCCTTGTGTTGTGGAGTTGTGTGGTAAGCTTTTCGGCTTCCATCCACTGGCGACCTCAAAGCATTATTTTAAGCGCATTCCTTGTCCTTTAGCCTTATAATCGTAATCGGCCTTAAAAAGAAAGTAATAAAGAGTTCAGGGCTTAGAAGATGCAAAGCTTTCATCCGCATTCCGTCTGTGTTATAAATAAAAGTCTTCCATTAGATAAGTTTCCATCTTCTTTTTCTTAAAGAATAGGAGCGAGACTTTCATAGTGAAGGGAGAGGCGAAGCCTAGTAACACAGCATCATGGTTTAGCCTAGCCCTTACAAGCAGTTCACCGCTTTCACATGGCAGAACCCATCACAGCACAGGGAGTCTGGCGCCCCTATACACTCATATCTCGACTTGACAACCAAAATTGCTTCAAAATGTCAATTTGTAGATCGATGGTGGGGATGAGCCCATGTGTACGCCTAACCTTCGGCCACCCCTAAATGGCACTAATAAGCACACAAGACACATAGGTCTAGGGATGCCTGTTTGACTAGGCGCGATAGAATACTCAACCAAGCATTCAGCTCGATGGATTACTCCCGCACCAGATAGTTCTCAGCCGCAAGGTTGCCGGCATGCCCCAATGATAAGGTACTCTCAAATCGAATATCTCGTGGCACCACATCTTTAGACAAAGGGCAGGTTTAGCTATAGCCCAGTCAACTGTTGGAGGCAAAGACAAAGAAAAAACGGAAAAGCCGAGTACACTGCATCTCCAGTGAACCATCCTACTAAGGTTTCACGAAGTAAACACATACGTTTCACAGCTAGGGACCATGTTCAGTCCATGCCAATAAACAACAGGAGCTCGCGGTCTATCAGCACTTTAAGGGCTACACAATGGAGATCGGATCGGCCTCGTATGGAGGGCTCCCCGAATACCTTTTCCTTTGGACCTAGCCTATCGATCAAAAATCCTACGCTAGCATGCCTACCGCACTACCGCCCCCACTCTCTACTATTGGTGGCTAATGGGTCCCTTCTCTCGCGTATCCTGTCTTTTCGGATCGGCACCTGGCCTCCCATTTCTTATGAGACGGCAAACGAATAACTTCTCTTTATCCGGGTATTGAATTGCGCGAAGAGTTTGAGGCCCGGTAAGGGGATAGCGGGTCAATGCCTTCTGCTCTTTCCGGTAAGTGAGTAGGGCCAGTCCCACACGATTAGCATAGATAAGACAAGTCAGGTAGGATTGGTCGGAGAAGGATGAAAAACCTTGTGTGAAGGAAAGGCTGTTTCAGTTGCTGTTTACGCGCTTCACTCACTAGGAGAAGAAGTCAGGAAAGTCCCTACTATACTTGTCTAAAAGACGAAAAGATGGATGAGCCACTCTCTCCATCCGACTCAGCTTAGCCTTTACCTGGGCACCTTGCCTTCTTTCCTTGCTTTGGTGCTAGCGTATATAAAGTAGTAGACCCCGGCTCCTTTTAGCTTTCTGTGGTATGGCTCTTATAACTCTTAGTAGCTGTTCTCTCCTTCCCTTTCCTTATTCCTTATCCTTAAGGAATTGGATATAGAACCGTTAGGAGTAGGAGCATTCGTTAACAGAGATGGATTGGCTTCGGTTGACCTTCTTACTATGGGAATGCTTGAAAAAGCTCTTATTCCAATAAGCTCGTGACTACTCTAAGAGGTAGCTGGGGACAAAAGGAATAAGTGCTCAAAGCGTTGATCAGCTGCTCTATTGGACTTATTTCCTTGGCGAGAAGGGTTAGCAGGGAAAGCAGCCTTGTTGTTGATTAAAGTAAAGGACCAGGGGTCTAGCGCTTTTGTTTTGTGGGAAGATACTTTAGTCATTGATATCCATATTCAAATACCTAATGATTTACAAGCCTGCGGTTCGCACCCTGCAGCCCCATTTTAGAAGTGCGTTTGAACAATACCTCTTGGTACTTATCCTTTAATAAAGGCTCGAGAGACCTACTTGCCACGTGGCAAGAGGCCATTAGCCAAAAAAACTGTGCTAAGATCTCAAAAGAAAGAAGAGTATTCGAATCCGGGTCCCCTATGATACTTGGCACGAAGCCATGGGTCCTAAGGGAGATTGGAAGAGAAATCCGATCCCCACTCTCTCAAATAAATACGAAGGCATAAAATGGTATATATAACCCTCACATATAGATGCGCACAGGTTTTTTTTACAAACGACTTCACACTTGGAGCTTTGAAGAGGCACTCAAGTGCTTGAAGGAGAAAAAAGAGAAGCCCATACTGTTGGAGTGCTAGGC